AGATGGATAGGGCGGGGCTTGGGCGAGAGCTTCCAAGTGCTGGGGTGTAGGGATCAGGCTTGGCGGTGGAGTTCATCAGGTAGCAGAAGGGTGGGGCCTCATGGCCCGACCCTTCTAATGTCCCTATGCTGTTCCCACAGCCCTGGCCGAGATCCTGAGCGTGAAGGACATCAGTGGCCGGAAGCTTTTCTATGTTCACTACATTGACTGTGAGTGCTGGGCGGGGGTGAGGAGGGGCTGCAAGGTGGGGTTGGAGGGTAGTCTCTGGCATTCCTTCCTGAGCCATCCCCACTGCTGCAGTCAACAAACGCCTGGATGAATGGGTGACCCACGAACGGCTGGACCTGAAGAAGATCCAGTTCCCCAAGAAAGAAGCCAAGACCCCCACCAAGAACGGACTTCCTGGGTCACGCCCTGGCTCTCCAGAGAGAGAGGTGGTGAGTAGGTCCCCAACTTCAACTCTTCTCTCCTGACTCCTACTTCTCTCCTCTTGGCCTCAGTGGTTCCTGGATGGGCTGGAGGCAGCACCCTCCCACCCTGGCTTCAGCTTGCAAAGGATGGGGACCATATTGCAGATGTAGCTTCCAGAGTCCAGCGGCTATTCCTGTGTCCTTGAGAGGGTGGGGTTTGGTCACTCCATGCTGAAGGGCCCCTACTCCCCTTCCCCATCCCACCACCATCCCCACCCCAGAGGAAGACCCTGGACCTATCTCTACAGCCGGCCTCCGCACAGGCCAGCGGGAAGACCTTGCCAATCCCGGTCCAGATCACACTCCGCTTCAACCTGCCTAAGGAGCGGGAGGCCATTCCCGGTGGTGAGCCCGACCAGCCGCTCTCCTCCAGCTCCTGCCTGCAGCCCAACCACCGCTCAACGGTACCCTCAGCAATTCCAGGGACCTTGCTTTCCTCTCAGGTCCCCCCTTCTCTACCTTCTGACCCACCTTTCTTGGTTTCTCTCTGCAGAAACGGAAGGTGGAGGTGGTTTCACCAGCAACTCCAGTGCCCTGTGAGACAGCTCCAGCCTCAGTTTTTCCTCAGGTGAGTCCTTCAAACCATCTCTTCTTCCCTTCCTTTCTTGTACCTTCTTGTAGCTCCTTTCAGACTCATCTTACAACCACTTCTATTCCTATCACTTCACCTACAGAATGGATCAGCCCGCAGGGCAGTGGCGGCTCAGCCAGGACGGAAGCGAAAATCAAATTGCTTGGGCACTGATGAGGTAGGTCTCTGGAAGAGGGAAGCTGAGTGAAAAGGAGGGGACATAGAAGAGGAGTGGAGAGTTGAGTGACTAGAAATAAACCATTGGTTGGTAGCCATGGTGGTCATGAGATTAGGAGCTAGGCAGAGCTGGTTGAGGTCAGTCACTGGGTGGTCTTACCCAAGTTTTGAATTAAGACTTTCCAAGTCTTGGTTTATCTGGAGAGTGGGGATTACATGGTATCTCCCCCCTAGGATTGCTGTTAGGCTTCAACAAGAGAACCTGGGGGTGGAGGGGGGTATGTGAGCTGTAGTCTCCTGTAACCTGGTGTCTTCCACTGGCCCTGGGCAGGACTCCCAGGACAGCTCAGATGGAATACCGTCAGCTCCGCGCATGACTGGGAGCCTGGTGTCTGACCGGAGCCACGACGACATCGTCACCCGGATGAAGAACATCGAGTGCATCGAGCTGGGCCGGCACCGCCTCAAGCCGTGGTACTTCTCCCCGTACCCACAGGAGCTCACCACGTTGCCAGTCCTCTATCTCTGCGAGTTCTGCCTCAAGTATGGCCGTAGCCTCAAGTGTCTGCAGCGTCACTTGGTATGAGGGGTTCCAGGTGCTGCCCTACTAGCACCCCAACCCTTCTTCCCCCTCCCCTGATCCACCTCTCCCCCTCAGACCAAGTGTGACCTGCGACATCCTCCAGGCAACGAGATTTACCGCAAGGGCACTATCTCCTTCTTCGAGATTGATGGACGTAAGAATAAGGTCAGTGGCTGGGGGACAACGGGGAGTCTTTGGAACTTAAGAGTCTGGGGGAAGTCAAATGAGCAGCTTCTTCCTGCTAGGAAAACTGACCAGTCTGGCCACATGTCGGTTCACCTCAATTTTATTGAGTTCTGCTGAAGGACAGATGCTGAGAGATGTAAATATGACCAGAAATTAGACATAATCTCTGTTCTCTGAGAGCTCAGTCCATGGGGAAAACAGACACATCAATGGCCACTTTAGATCCCAGAGTGTTAAGTGTCATGAAGCAGAAAATGAGTTATTAGGACCCAGAGGAGATAGTCAGCAAAGCTTCACAGAGGAGGTGAATTTTGAGCCTTGACATGAAGGACAAGGTGGGCAAGGGACTCCCAAGCAGGGGGGTTCTGAAGGGCAGGCATGGATGTAGAGAGAAAGTGTGAAAGTCAAAGACCCTTTTGGTTGAAGGGCAGAGAGGAGGGAAGACTGTTACAAGGGACAGCTCAAGAGGTGGGAATGAGGTCAGTTGGGGAGGAGTTGGGGACACCATAAGTTTGGGGCTTCATACTTGCTTTAGTCTGGCTGTAGGGAGGAGTAACCTGGAGGGACCGTTGAGAGATTCCCCCGTTCCGGGGGCTGAGAGGGTGGTGAGGGAAAGGCAGGTACCTTGACTGGCAGGGGAGAGCTCTGGCTTGGGTGCAGGGGGAGCTTGAGGGGAAGATACTTTTCTAACCACTGTTACGTATTATTCAGTGTGGACTTGGGCATCCAGATTGTGGTGCCTGGCATGTAGTTAAAAAGTCATGTCTGGCCCGGCCGGGCATGGCTCAGCGGTTGAGAGTCGACCTAGAATCCAGGCGATCAGGGTTTGTGCGATTCCCAGTCAGGGCACATGCCCGGTTGCGGGCTTGATCAATGACTCTCTCATCATTGATGTTTCTCTCTCTCTCTCTCTCCTTTCCTCTCTCTGAAATCAAAGATATATTTTTTAAAAAAGTTATGTCTGAAATGCAGGATAAATTATGTGCAGAGGTAAAATAGCAAGATTAATAAATTTTTTAGTGGGTGGGGCTCCTAAGGCTTTTATTTTGTTAAATTTCAGAATTCCTTACCTGAGTTATAGACTACCAGGTCATTTCCTAAGAGATGTGACTGTAGGCAGAAGAATTGTGACAGCCAGACTCCTAGGACTGTCACATGGGCAGAGCTTCTCATAAGCCTTGGTCAGTCTTGGGTACATGTCAGTTTGTTGACTGTTGTTAACTATAGCAGAGGGCAGTGGAGGCCCCCAGGACCCACTTAGGTGGAGGCATGGGGAGCAGGGGTAAACCTGCCCAACTCACCAGGAGGCAGGTTATCCAATGGGCTGGTCCATGGACTCCTTTTCATTGCGAAGTGGCCCTGCCTGAGTGGCAGGAACAGCCTGACTGATGGAATGGGTCAGGCCTCAGGGAGGAATGCTCATCACCAATCAACCTGGGCTATAAACAAGCTCCTGGTTGACCCTGGCCCAATGGCCATGCTTGAAGCAGGGTACCCAGAGCGGTAACAGGCCTTTTCCTTTTCAGAGTTATTCCCAGAACCTGTGTCTTCTGGCCAAGTGTTTCCTTGACCACAAGACATTGTACTATGATACAGACCCTTTCCTCTTCTATGTCATGACGGAGTATGACTGCAAGGGCTTCCACATTGTGGGCTACTTCTCCAAGGTGAGTGCTTATCCAGCCTGTCGCTCAGCCCTACCCTGAGCAGGGTCCCCTTCCCTCACACTCACCTGCACCTTTACAGGAAAAGGAATCAACGGAAGACTACAATGTGGCCTGCATCCTGACCCTGCCTCCCTACCAGCGTCGGGGCTATGGCAAGCTGCTGATTGAATTCAGTGAGTACTTATGCTCACGGCCAGGGGCTAGAGGTGGGTACTGGCAGGCCCAGGCCCAGCACCAGGACTCCCATTGGGGCCTCACATACAGATACGCCGGGTTGTTGTGATTCTCAGCTCTGGCCTTGCAGCCCACTCACTTTGGCCAAAAATCAAGGTGGGACTCTTCCAAGATTCTTTCATTCTCTTGTCTAGATTAGGTTCTCAGCCCCTCACTGTTCCTTGGCCAAGGATCCAAGCATCCCCCAAATTTGACTCGTCTGCTCCTGCCCAGGGTCATGAGCAGAAGCCAAGTGAGCCACTGTTGCTCATCCCTCTGGTACTGTTGTGTGAGTTCCTCGGTGAGGACCAGTTGTCTCCTGAGCTTGGTAGACAGGAGATGTTCAAAATGCTGTTAACTCAGCAGGGAGATGGAAGCACTGACTTGCATGGATATGGCATTTATTCCTTGTATCATGTCACGTCAGTCTCTTAAAGCCCAGAAGGGCCTCTGCCCCTCATCCTTCATGAGCTCTTCAGTGTCCCCCCAACCCCTTCTCCCTTCTGCTTCCCAGCCTCCCACTCCCATTCTATTCAACTCACCATTCAATTGGGATAACCAAGTTCTGCGCTAGAAGACGGGGAGAGAGCCTTAGCTGTTTGGGAAAGACACAAAGGCTTGACTTGATCAAGTCATGGTCCATTTGAGAAACTTTATTGGTAGAGTGATGCTAAGATGGGAGTCATGTTTTTAGGAAGCCCTCAGCCTGGTAAAGCAGGCAGTTGCTTAATGCGGCTGTGGAGCTCAGACCTCAATGGAGAGGGGATGTAGGCAGGGCCACCAAGGAGGTGTGCTCAGTTTGGCACACAGGGTGGGTGGATGTTAGGAGGACACTGAGGAGGGGCTAGGCCTTCCCTACAGCTGAGGTGGCCGTTGATGTCCAGTTGATCTGTCAGGACTCTACATGCACCACAGACCCAGCAAGGTTAAGTAGGAACCCAGCGTGTGCCCATTCTTTTCTGTGCCTCCTCTCCCCAAAGCACCAGCCTCTCTGTCCCTCTCACCATTGGGTTTCTTGGTGGAAGTCATAAGATTGGGCAAGAGGGCCAGACTGGCTGATAAATAAAGATGCACCAAGGGGAAGAAAGCAGAACAGACTATGGTGCAACACGGAATGGTTATGACTGAGGGTGAGGAAGGGCTTCTACAAACTGTAGACATCCCAGGGCCCTGACTGGGCGAATGAAGACTGCCAAGAAATGTGAAGCATGTAGGGTTTTGCAGGGCCTGAGGTCTCACCAGGAACTGCCTGCCAGTGCCCAGGGGTCAGCAGGAGGGAGGGCGGTGCAGTCAGAGTGGGAGGGAAAGCTTCAAGAGGGAGAAATGTCTTCCCTCTTGAGTTGGGAAGCGCTCTGGCACTCCGCAGCCTCACAACCATCTGGTCAGGCCAGCCTGGTCTTAGAGCTGTTGATGCTCCTGGGGTCACAGCTAGGGGGAGCATCTCAGGCCTGGAACAGGTTGGGCCTGCCCCCTTCCCTCCTCACATACACAAGTTCAGAGAGAATGTGGGAAGACACAGGAAAATTGGAGGCACTTTCTTTCTAGAAGCCATTTTCTCTGCCTCTCCTGCCCCACTTCTAACCTCTCACTGACTCAACACCCCTCCCAGTTGATTGTAGCCACTTCTCTCAGTGCCCTCAGTACCTTCCACTGTGCTTGGCACACAGGTGAAGAGTGAGTGCTCCCTAGTCCTTTATGCGGAAACTGAGGCACAGAGCAGACAAGCCACACACCCCAGCTCACAGAACCGCGACACAGCAAGGCCAGGATGGGAAGCAGGCAGTCTGCCTCTGCCACCTGTGCTCTTCAGCGCTGATCACGTGAAGCTGCGACCCTTTACCCATTCCCTCCCTCTCCATTGCTTTAGGCTATGAACTCTCCAAAGTGGAAGGGAAAACGGGGACCCCTGAGAAGCCCCTCTCGGACCTTGGCCTCCTGTCCTACCGAAGCTACTGGTCCCAGACCATCCTGGAGATCCTGATGGGGCTGAAGTCTGAGAGTGGGGAGAGGCCACAGATCACCATAAAGTGAGCCTGGCCCCACCTACCTGGGGGTGCATGGCCTGGCCTGTGTTTCCAGGCTTCTTACCCTGGGGCTCCTGGAGGCCTGGGACAAAGATGAAGGGCCCTAGGGGACCTGATCTTTGTGCTCCCACAGTGAGATCAGTGAAATCACCAGCATCAAGAAAGAGGACGTCATCTCCACTCTACAGTACCTTAACCTCATCAACTACTACAAGGTAGGGAGGTGGACGGGGGAAACAGGTGTGTGGAGGTGCGGAGTGCAGGCCCCGTGGGTGACCTGCCTTGTCCCCCCTGCCCAGGGCCAGTATATTCTCACGTTGTCAGAGGACATCGTGGATGGGCACGAACGGGCTATGCTCAAGCGACTCCTCCGCATCGACTCCAAGTGTCTGCACTTCACTCCCAAGGACTGGAGCAAGAGGGGGAAGTGGTGACCAGGCACAGCCCATGGTAGCACTGACAAAGCCCGCAGAACTGGAGCTGACAGCCATTCCGCCCCCATCAGGACCCCCAAGGGGGACACTAAGGGAGACGGACCAGGCTGAGGACAGTTCCACAAGGAGAGGACCGGCCTGGTAGGGGCCAGTTGGTGCACAGCACCAAAGTGAGCTCAGGGCTCAGGTCAACTTTAAGGTCAGCTGGCTGCAGGCCCAGGCTTGCTGTGATCCAGGGACCAGAGGGAGCCAGGCAGATGTGTACAGTGAGATGGGGGTGGGGGCACTCTGTACAGAGGGCTGGTAGCTGTAAAAAGTTTCTTTTGTAAAGTAGGAATTGGGGGTGAGGTGGGTACTGGCTGCAAAATCCTGGCCTCTTTTGCCCCCACTGCTCCCTGACAATAAAATTGTTTTTATAGATCAGAGCCGTGAAAGGTTCTTGTGGGGGAAGTAGCTGCTCCAAGGTGGGGGCAAACTCACAGGTGCTATGAAGAGCTCGTTTATCGGGGTGATGGAATCAGTAGGTCCAAAGTGAAGAGCTCGTTTATTGGTGTGAAGGGATTGGTGGCTTTCAATTTCAAGCTGTGGTTGGTCGTCAGTCCTCCCGCACCTGTGCATGGATCTGCAACAGGAGTCACCTTTACTACTGTTTCTGAGATGGAGTGGCTGCGTGGTCCACATACTTGGGGAGGGACTCAGCTGCTCAGAATAACAGCCTCTCTAGGCAGGCCCGAGAATGGTGGGGGAGCCACGCGGCTCTAACCCCATCTAACCTTCCAGTCAGAGCCAGGCTCCAGCAGCCCCATTGTGCTCCACAACCCCAATGCCCCAAATCCACTTAGGGCAAGATTCTGGACAACCCAGTAAATAACTTTGAAGCCAGAGAGGGGGGATGGATGAGCCTGGGAAGAAGAGGGCCCATCTATCTACTCACCGCTGCGGCGAGGCTGGGCCAGGTTAGGGCGGCACGTACTTTGGCATCCGGGCCAGGGATGGCCTCCAGGCCCCACAGGGTGAAGCGGCTGAAACTGGCGGAGGCGCGGATGAAGCGGTCCTGCGGAAGGCGCCCGGCTCAGCATCGGGGCCGCCGCTCCCGCCCGCACCCCCTGCCACCCCCGTGCCCCTATGCTCACGAAGTCCCGCTCCAGCTCGGCACTGCCCGAACCCTCTGAATAGTCCTGCTTCCCCACCGACGCGTCTCCCTTCTCTTCCATCACCATCACGTATCCCACGAGGCCGGGCGGCACGTCCACCTCCTCGCCCCGCAGGCTGCGGCCCCGAAACGACACTTCGAGTCCTGAAGGAGGCAGGCGCAGGGCCACAGTGAGGGCCTGACCCAGGCC